AAAAAAAAAAAAAAAAAAAAAAAGAAAAGAGTGTTTCCTAAAGTTCAGACATTTGTGTAATGCTTCACAATATCTGCCATATAAGCATATTATTTTCTTAATATTTTCCTTTAAATTTTTGTTTAACTTCAGCCTCTTCCTACGCAATATGATCTAGAATATTATAAATTTGATGTGCTTGGCATATTTTTTTCTAACAAGCCATTAAAGTCATATAAAGAAATATATAACTATGAAAACATTAAAAGCTTGTATGCCACTAAAAATCATATTGCATATCAATGATCATAGATATTTCATATTTGGAAGAAAAGTGACATAAATTCTTGAAAACAGCTGACTACTGGGTGTGGTGGCTCACACCTGTAATCTCAGCACTTTGGGAGGCTGAGGCAGGAGGATTTCCCGAGCTCAGGAGTTCAGGACCAGTCTGGGGCAATGTGGTGACACTCTATCTCTACAAAAAATATTAAAATTAGCTGGGCGTGGTAGCATGCACCTGTAGTCCGAGCTAATTGGTAGGCTGCGGGGGGAGGATTACCTGAGCCCAGGAAGGTTGAGGCTGCAATGAGCTGTGATCACACCACTACGCTCCAGCCTGGGCAATAGAATCAAATCTCGTTTCAAAAAAAAAAAAAAAAAGCTAGCTCATCATTGGTTCTCAATAAACACTAATTGACTCTGACCTTCTGTGGAAACTTTTATCCACATTCCTCCCCTTTTCATCTCTCATTCCTGGAATGAGCTTCACCGGCTCTGATAATGCCACTGCGCAAAATTCTTACCAAAATGCTTCCACCTGTGGGGTCTGTTGCCAAGGTCATTCCCAAGTACTTGGAGGTATAGTTGGAACCTGTAGGCACCAGAAGGTTGCTCTGGAGGAGCTCAAGAAATCTAGGTGGGCTGGGGCCAGCCTCAGTTTCCCCAAGATCCCATTCCTCCCAGCTCACTCGCCAGTTACTCACCTCTCAGGCTGACTGGCAGGCAGTGTCCTGTGTCTGGCTGGCACTGATAGAGGCTTCCTGTGCTGTTCCCTTCCCCTGGAGCTCCCACGAAGACCCTGGTGAGAAATCTCACCTGTGAGAGGGAGTGGCCTAGATCTGTACCCACCCACTCCTGCCCGCTAAGGAGGTTCAGGTCTCCCGCTGCATTTCTCCAAGCACTGCAGCCATTCCACTTCAAGAAGGTGCCTCTAGGCCAGGTGCAGTGACTCATGCCTGTAATCCCAGCACTTTGGGAGGCTGAGACGGGCGGATCACCTGAGGTCAGGAGTTCGAGACCAGCCTGCCCAACATGGAGAAACTCTGTCCCTATTAAAAACACAAAATTAGCTGGGGCATGGTGGTGCATGCCTGTAATCCCAGCTACTCAGGAGGCTGAGGCAGGAGAATTGCTTGAACCCAGAAGGCAGAAGTTGTAGTGAGCCGAGATCAAGCCATTGCACTCCAGCCT